CATTGTCAGCAGACAAAGAAACAAGAAAATGCTTGCAATTGCAGAGGCTTGTGCAATTCGAGTTTACAAACCAGGTCTCTGTGTACAAAAGGAGATGGTCGTGACTCTGAATCTACCATGGTAATACGTTTTACTTATAATTCTACCTCTTATTATTATTTTATTATTACTATCATTATTCTCATTATTATTATTCTTCATTCATTCAAAACTATCGTTTATCAGTAGCATTATCTTAACTCACTTCAACACTATTATTATTATTGTTATTATAACTATTACTATTGACATCCCTCTGGTTGCAATTCTTGTTAAATTCTGTAATGTCTAATTGTTTATCTAAGTGATGTAATTGAAGCGTAATGCAATTTATCTTAATTTTGATCTCCCATACTCTCTCTCTCCTTATCTAATTGCACCTGTCTTTCTGCATGACTAATTCAATGTAGTTTATTTACTTATCAGTCCTATATCTCCCAATGTAACTTCAAAAGTATATATCCGTGTATGTAGAGTATTCAGCTGACGAGTTCTACCGAAATTTGATGAATTCATTAAATCCTGCTTTATTAACCTTTATTGCTTAGATTATGACTAGTCCTCATTCAGTCATTAATGAAAAAAAGTGAGTAATGCTTAGCAAAGATGCTGTCTTCGGCGATTTCATTTTCCTACTTACCTGTACAGTCATATATTTTCAAAAAGAGACTAGGAACCGAAGTGATGGATTGTCATAAACATGCTTGCCAACAGTAACCAGCATATAAGAGAACTTGAATCGGAGTGATAGAGTTACGTGGTGCGGTAAATAATTTAATGAATGAGTTGTAATCAGCATGCATGTAGTGAATAGGGAAAATGTGATATTATTTAGGAGTTCGAAAGTGACTGGAGGGTAAGAAAGAGTTTAAAATACAAAAACAATGAGGTCGTTACCATGATAGTGGAAATGGTTGAATAATTCTTTTGTGTATTCACAGAGCCTCGGCAGTGCAAAGGAGACGAAAGCGTATTGTATTTCACAGATCACTTTTCAACTTATACAGCACATAAAGATTTGTCTTCAATGCATTCTAATTCACACGCACATAGAACTAAGGGGTGCATTAGACTTTCACTATATCCTGAATGATTGTTTAATATAACCCTTGAAAGACAAGAGCCTATGATGGTGAATTCTGGTTGACTTAATATGTGCTTTAAAAAACCAATGTTTTCTGTTAACTGCAAATCATGAAGGCTTTTTAACATGCAAATGCATACATTTACATATCCTAGAGATATGTGAATAATGTGTTAAACTGCAGTGTAGTATGGCTTCTATAAGATATACCCTGAAATATATTAAAATCGCGAATTGATTTGCAAAATTACGAATGTGAAATGGAGATGGATCAAGCATAACCCTTAAGAGACCGTTGAGTTACATTGCTTATTAGGCAGTTGGGTAGAACTCGATTGGGAAACGACGAGTTTGGCGCGCGAGGGTGACATTTAGGAGGAGGAAATGAAAGCTTATAGAGAACTGATTGGAATGAAGACATATTGCTTAGGGGAACAGAAATAATATACAGGCATACTATTATCACTAACTCAGTAATATCATAAGTATAAGTTATTGTTCAAAGGTATGCATATCAAGGTATTTACATTATTTCCTATCTTGTTTTAAAGATTCTTATCTCCTTCCGAATTTTATTACAATTTTCTGTATATCTAAAATCGGTATTGTTTCACTTCTGTTACATTTACACGTGGTGGCACAACGGTTAGGACGCTCGCCGACCATGCACACGGCCTGGGGTTCAATCCCCGGCCGACGCACTCCTTTACCTCGCTAAACCAGAAATAAAGCTGGTAAAGAGGAAAGGTTGGGCATGAGGCTAGCTACCCCATCCTGTAAAAATAAACTGCTGCAGAAACTTCAAGCCACTAGCTTGAAGCCCCATGTTCCACTGGGAACGTGAAGGAATAAAAAAAACATTTACACGTAGTCGACTCGATTGATAAAGACCCATTGATTAGCCTCTCTTTCTTATTATTGTCACCTAGTCCAACCGCAGTTAGTATCACTGCATTTGTGGGAGTCATGTCAAATAAACTTATCTAATATAAAATCAGGTCTTGAAACTTGCTGAAATCCTGCTCTTTCATTAAGTACAATGATAATTTTCTGAGAAACCGATGTTTTAAGAGTTACCCTGAAGGAATTTGATTTGTTTGACCATAGACTGATGTCAGTTATAACACCATTTCAAATCAGGGAGTACTAGAAAGCTGTTTCATTCTAGTTTGAGATTTTTCAGCAGTACACACCCACAACCGCACTAGAATCTTAAGGTTACAAAGCCAATCTCGTTGACTATTCAACCACTTGAACCAGAGTCCAGCGACCCATGAATTTTAACTTTAATCGATTAGCGGTTTTGGCGTAACCACCAGCCAATGTCATCGGCCAGTATTTGGCCTCACCAGATGCACCTCAAGGATTACGAGTTTTCACTGGGACTCCAGGCAAATTCATCCTATTGCCAGTCACTAGCGAGCATCAGAGTGAAGATGGCTTATTACTGACTTTATAAATTATATAGTTTTGGCTTGACGATACAAAAGGTTTGTGTCTATCACCTAACTTTTACACTTTCTCAATAAAATGTTAATTTAATTAGCTAAGAGTAGTTAGGAATGATCAGTAATTAGATTCTGTCCCAGTGACTGAGTGATCAACGAGCTCACCTCATGATTTCCTGGTCCTAGGTTTGACCCCTGGTGTGGTTATGAGTGTACACTGCTGAAGAGCTACAGACAAGGACGAAATAGCCACCCAGTACTCCCTAGTTTCTAATAGTTCTCTAATCTAAGTCAGTCATTGATCAATCTTGGTAGCTAATAAATGCTTCGGAGAAGAAGTGACTTCAGAATTGTTATATTAACATTTGTAATTAACTCGTTATTAGTAATCGATACTTTGAAACAAATGCCGGAACTCTTTCAAAAATGATGTGGTCATATTTCAGCTGTTTAGAATAAGAAGGCTAATTTCTGAGTATTCCATGGCAGTTAAATTCATTTAACGTAGAGCACATTGGCACAGTTGTGCTGTTTTAGTGATGGATGCAGGTGATTGACAGGTCAGTCGTCATTATACATTCCTATCCTTTCGTCATCAACAACACCGTAATTTGTAAGTAATAATAATAAATATAGTTACTTTAATACCTGTGTGAAATTAATTTCAGATCTTTTCTGATTTACGATCGATAATCTGATCGGAATAATTTCAGTTTCCGAAAGAAAGTTTGGTGAATTTTCACTCCCCTTCCTCCCCTTCTGAGCTGGGCTAAACTGTTTGAATACACTGTTGATGAGTTCAGTCGAAAATGATAGAAACGGTAGTCTGGTGTAGTTGATATCAGCTATCAGCCACCAGTGATTGTTGTGAGTGCTATTCAACTAATCCTATCGGTGAATCAGTGGTATGCACCATCATATAACTGTCAAGAATTCATCTTGTTGTAGCTAACTCCTTCTAATTAGTTTAATAAATTTACAGAGAGGCAAGGCATGGAAATAACTGTCTAATTGTTATCAAAACTATTTACTTTATCCGGATGATTATGGCACAAACAAATAAATGCACTGTTTAATTACAACGCAATTATTAGTTGATATTGAGTAAATAATAATCAAGAATGTACGACGTTCTGCCTAGGACTTCAGTTTCAAAAAAAGACAGAACGCCTAACAATGGTCTAAGTCTTACTCCGTAATGCTGGTATAGTCAGTCTTTTCGGTAACTGTCCATCCCCCCTGAACAGACGTGAAATATAGGTGTAATGTGATTTCGAAGTTGACAATAGTGTAAATATATGCAAAAAAAGCAAAACAGACATGCTAGGACCATAGATGCATTTCAGGAATACAGTTTCGTCTAGCCGTCTAGATAGACAACACAGCCATTCAATTTTTTAAAATCAGTCTCCCTACTTCTCCAAAATATTTCTTTATACTTTTATTTTATAAATACCAGACGCCTGAAACCCGATTTATGTGTTCATAAAAAAAGGGTAGTCAGTATTTCCTTGCCCTGGCATCTGGACTTCCTTACTCTCTCTCTCTTTTATTTGATTATTTAATCTTTGGCTTTATACTCTTCCTTCTTCTCTATAATTGATTGCTTTTTGCTCCTATGAGTCGCTGAGTTGAAATCACCACATTGCTATTAAAATAATTAGTTACTCATCATCTCAACCACCTCTTGTCTTTATTACACAATTCGTTTGGGCATTTATTTTTTTTATTTAAAATTGAACTTTCTATGTACAAACTATTTATAAGTATGATTTCTGAGCATTGCTTGTTAATTTTGGAGTCTCTTGTCAACTGACATCATGTCACAACTGGAAGTATTTTAAAAATATTCTGTACATAAAGTTAATGAATTTCTTTAGGCTGTACTCCAGTCATGAGTAGCTGACGAATTAAATGTGACGTTTTTCTTTGTTGTTTTTTTGTTTCATTTGTTTATGTTCCCAGTGGAACATATGGCTTCAAGCTACAGCTTTTAAGTTTCGGTAGCACGAGTTTCATTTTTACGGGGTGGGGTTGCTAGCCTTACGCTTAACCTTCCCTCTCGACCGTGATTACTACCGGCTTAGCGTTAGTCGGCCGAGGATCGAACCCCGGACCACGCGCATGGCTGCTGGTGAGCGTTCTACCGCTGAACCACTGACGTACACATTAAATGTGATAGTAACGCGTTACTCTGCGCAAACCCTTGTGGTTTTGCTTTATTCAAATTTATAAAGAGGGAATATATATGTGTATTTATATATTCGCTGACTTTGTGACATACAGCAACACTGTACGAAGTAATTTCTAATTTACCTACAAGTAGAGAATATTTTGAGTAAAGTATGTTAAATGATAGTTGAGTTCTCACCATAATTCTGATATTTTCGATTTGTTATTATATTTATACATATATGTTTTATTTATAGGAGTGCTTTCGTGATCGACACAAATGGATGGATACGTATCACAGTATGTCTGGATGTTGGTATACACTTCTGTGTCAAAGATATTCTACGAATGGTGAGAGAACTACAAATCAGAGATAAAGAAGAAGAGGTAGAGACTGGAAATCCAGTAGAAATAAACAGTTAGTTGGCTGATTTGCTTTTCTTTCTAAGATTGAAAAAAACTCTTTGCGGTAATTATTTGTGATATCGTATTACTCTTGCATTTCGCACTTATAAATGAATGATAACTTCTACTAGACTCTTCATTATTCTATATTGCATTTAAAAGAAAATTACCTTTTGGATTATAGTAATAGTTTTATTTTTCTCTGTTGTTTTAACTGATCTCTGTTTCTGCTTAAACTTTTATTTTTCTAATGTGCAGCACCATTTTTGTGTCTCAGTGAGAAATTGCACACTGTAATCATGTTCATGATAAGGTTTCCCCTTCATCTGCTACTTTGTTCTTTCTTTGATTTTCCATTAAATCCACTCAATAACTAATAAGTGTACCTTTGTCAACTGTTGTTTTTGCAGGGATATGATTAGTTACGCGTTTGATTATGAGCTGACATCAGTCAGAGAACCATTGGAAAACTAAGAAATACTGGACAGCTGTTTCGTTCTAATTTAAGACTCGTCAGTACTATGCATTCATGACCCCACTACCTTTAGGTTACAAGGTGAGCTCGTTTACGATTCCGCGAGTGAGACCCGATCAAGTGTGTGACCAATCGAATCCCTGCATGTCAACACTTGGTAGTTAATCTAGTGCTCACTGGCCACTGGCTCCATGCAGCAGGGTGCCTGGAGCTCTAATGAGAAGTCATAACTAGTTGGATACACCAAATCAAGTATGAGGTCGGTTACTCAGCCCTGAGGAGTCCTAAATTAGGACGTAACAGTTGTCCATTACTTCCTGATTTTCCAGTAGTTCGTCATCAAACAAATACTCTTGTTTATTATAATTATATTTGTAATCTCAGCGATTGAAATAATTCCAACGTTTCGTTCGGCAATCTGGTCCGACTTTTAGGAAATAAAAGTATTAAAACAACTAGTTTTATTTGTCCAATCATGAGTCATTTTACACTGTTATTGTTTAACAGTATCACATTAAGACGAATAAAATCATATGATTACTGAAACAGTGGGATTGTTAGGCTAGTTATATTCTTTCTTACCATTTCATCTCCATTTCATCCCGTTCTTTAATCAAGACGATATTTTGCTGTGTTACAACTCGAAAGTAACGTTAACTAGTAACTTTTAACTAGACAATGTTGAACGTTCACTAGTTTTGTTTTTGTAAGTAGTTTTTCATACTACTAATTAGTAGTTTAAATGCGTCAATATTAAATTTTGCCGAATTGATTACTCCTGTTCTTTGATCACAACCTCTAATCATCTGTCCACTAATGTGTAATAATCAAATAAAATTGTCCTCACTTTCTCCTACATAAGTGCACATTTGTGTACTTTCATGATTCCTAATATCTAGCCAATAGATTTCAATCAAAGTTTAATTTCCCCTTAGAACTATGATTGCAAAAAGATTCACATCTAACACACAAGAGGGTCGTTTAGCACTTCCTCATTTGCGTCATCTTTGACGTATGCCTGATACTCCGCTATCTATTAAAGAATGTGTATGTACTGCCCACCATTTTGCTCTATCCTTCTTTGTGGCTTTGAAATATGACCGCTGAAAGTGGAAAATATAATGACGCCAGTTGTCTTCGATTATAACTGCTTGCATTATATCTCTCATGTTAAATGGTATAGTATGTTTAGAAATATTGACGATAAGTGTAGACTGTTCACTAAAGAGGCGAAATCAACCGATAAAGTTGTGAAACTTCATCGACTGAAATGTCTAAAATAGGTGTTACGAATTCTAAGCTATCGTCTTCCATGTTAAGCAATATTAATTGAAGTAAGATTCGGTAGGAAATGGGTTAGAGTTGATCAAATAAAGAAAATGCATTAATACTTAGAGTCTCTGACTGTTAGTCTTAATCCCCTAGTAAAGTGGGGTTCTCCAAACACTAAGAAGGAATGGCTGGTGGCCGTTGGTGACAAATCTTAAAATTGTAATGCAATCACAGATACTCTCAGTTCCTTTAAGTCCTCATTATTCTCTATGCAGTTTTTCTATCTCCCGTACATATGTGTTTGTTGTAGTTTCTTAGCATTTCATTTTCCCTCACCCTTACGTGAACGTTAGTGCAAAGTTCCACGTTAAAGGCTCAGTGTATATCATGTTCATATTAAAGACATGCAAGAGTTCAAGTTTGTATTCCCAGAACATAACTGGTATGGTCCTGAAATGTGGCGTATTTTAAATCCAAGTTCAGAAATCGTTAAAATATATTCTAATTATGGAATAGAAAGGAAATACAGTTTGCTTCTCAAACATCAGCGAGAATTTAAATAATGTGTTTAGGTTTTTCTGAAGATTGAAGGGATATTATCTGGTTAATTATAATATTTAACAAATCTTTTAGTGTACAAATACACTGATCATGAACAAAAACAACTTGTTTCTACTCCAAATCATGGTGACTAATATTCATTGTTTGAGTTGAAAACACTGCAGGCTGTCTGTGAGAAGAGAAGTGAAAATGGTTTTGAACGAGAAAAAGCTAATTGATAAGGCACTTTGTTTAACTATCAATATCTTAGGGTGCTGAAAATTAAGTTAAACATATTGGCAATTGAACATTGACCAATTACATCGTTTCGGCCGATATTTTAAACTTACTGCTTAATTTTGCTAAACATTTCTGAAAATAAGAAACTGTCAGTCATTTTAAGCATTCAAAATTTTTTCTCTAAAGTTTTACCAGGATTTGTCTACACTGCTCATTTTCATAATTTACGTGAACCTGTCACTCAGTCACTCACCAACTCATCCGTTCACAAGTGAACTTTAACCACAATGTTCACTTTAATCGATTATGATACAACAATTTTCATCACGAAAGAAATGAATAATTATTTGTATGTAGAATAGTGTTTCCGTGTGTAGAACTGAAACTATTTTATTAGTGTTTGAATGATTATGCACAGATTTTATTTAGTTGGTTAGTATTCACTTCTAACATAACCTATTTACTTGCGAAGCTGGAGAATGTATCCATGACAACAGTTTTATAATCTACCATATTATGCTTATTATTATATGGTTAAGCACAGTTTTTTTTCAAAGATAATATGCAAAATACATCAATAAGAATTTCTAGAAAATGTGCACTTTCTTCTTTAACTAACCTTCAAGAGTACCGTGTTTTAGAAAAAAATGTAAGCCATAAATTGATGCTTTTGTGGTTCAGTGGTAGAATGTTCGCTGCTCGGTCGCGTTATCTAAGGTTCAATTCTCGGTCTACGTAACCCGAAACTTGGCTTAACCAGTTATAAGCCAGGTGAAGAAGGATGGTTGTGCGTAAGGCTAGCGACTTCATCCTATGAAAAAGAAGAATAACACTATAGAGACTGAAAGTTTAAAGCTCATAGCTTGAAGCCGTAGGTTTTACTTGGAAAGTAAAGGAATAAAGAGAAAGATAAATAAATTTATGAAGACTTACGAGACGAAAAGACATTTCTGTCTCTTCCATTCAAAACAGAAGTATCTGGAATTCGTGGTGAATGAACACCTACCAGATGCGTGAAAAAGTCATTACTTCACCTAACAAGCGCGAAAATTACACTCAGTAGGTAACTGGGGAGATTATGAGCATAGAATACTTTATATGCTGATGGTAATTAGTAGTCAACACTTCTACAGACTACGAAACAGACGCAGTATTGTAACCATTATTCTTTTGTAGTAATCACCCACTTAGGTGATAATCAATGTTTGTACAGAAAGGTATCTTACTGATATTAGATGGTTGGAGGCAATCGACAGGAAACCTCACCTAGACTTAGGTTTCGTGCTAGTTGGCACTCACCAGTCAGCAAGGCGTATCTGCAACATTGAGGAACTTCATGTGTTTTCTGAGATTCGAACTCACGTCACCCAGTGCGTACTGAAGTTAGAGACGTTACCGCTGAGCTATTCGGGTTCGCGACGGACCTCCTGTAGGACTCCACTGGATACTTTGATTGGACACTAGTAACTGGTGTGATGTGTCTAGTCCTAGAATGGTGGTCACATTGCAAACCTGACTGATAGCTTTCACTCTGCACCGAAGAAAGGACTAGACAAACCACACCAGTTACTAGTGTCCAATCAGGGTATCTTACTGTTGTCCTCCTGAAAATGTGATAGGGATTCGCAAAGAAAAGTTTACAATACTCTCGACACCATTGACTACAAATTAACTCGGAAATTGATACAAACATTAGGTAGCCCAATGCCCGGACGTCTATGCATCTCATTCAGCATCTATATGATGATGCCATATGTCAAGGGATTCACAACGAAAGGTCAGCAAAGCCATTGAGGTTGAGATAGGAGTAATATAAGGCTGCCTACTATCACCTTTGATATCCCTGATTGTGGTGGGTTGGATAAAGCAGTAGAATGTGGGGCGCAAGTAGAGAGGAACACTTTAGGTGGACAAAAAGACTCTGGATTTGAATTGCACTGACGATTTATGTGTATTGTCACACAAACTTGACAATTCACAGGCAGAAAACAAAAAAGTTAGCAGCAGAAGCAGAGAAAACAGGATTTGAAGTGAACCTATGGGAGACAGAGGCTATGAGCATAATCAACCAACTAACAAGAGAAGTCATCAATCACTATCAACAGGAGAAAGTCACCTCTACTCAACTACAGGAGGCATGGATGAAGATGTCAACGCCAGAGAGGATCGGAAAGGCAAGACAGACCCTCGTCACCGTGAAATCAGTGCGGAAATCTACAATCAGCATAAACACCAAGATTCGAATTTTCCACACTGAGGTAAACTTAGTTCTTCTACATGGTTCAGAGACTAAACCTTTCACGAAAAGCATTTCCAATAGGCTGATGCATACTTTCATCAACAACTGTCTTCATCCAACAGGGAAGATCAAATGCAACCTAAAGAAGATCACCGATAAGTGACTGCTGTAACGAGCTGACCAAGAAGCAAGAACAAATGTGTCGGCAGAAATGCAGATGTGTCGGATACAGGCTGATGAGACCGCTGAATGACATTTTTTGCCATGGCCTCAAGTAGAACACAGTAGGGAATGGCAAGTTGGACATGTGTCCCAGTTGACGTCGAGAAGATCGTGTAGGCGGGGGTAGGTGCCTTTGGGCAATCGTGAAGCCAGCTATAAAGGACTACAGCGAACAGGATTAAGTGGAGATGTCCTGATGAAACCCTTTGTCCCACCCGGAACCTAAGAGAATAATAAAAGCAAGTTATCAGCCAACACTTTTAAAAACTGTCCTATAAGACACAGAAAGCGCTAGGTTAATGTGCATTTTATTTCCGTTTAAAAATGCTGAAATGTAGTTGACAGAGTAATTTCGATATATTCATCATTTTGTTATTTAAAAGAAAAGACGG